AGGACGTCCATCGACTCTCGGTGTGGGAACACCACGCTGTCCATGGCAAAACCATCGGAACCCAAGAAACCCAAGGCACCGTGGAGACAAGCTAGGTGTTTCTTGGCATGGGCCCCCACTGTAGGACGGCTTCAGGAGCGCCCAACAGGGTGTCCAAGAGACCTCCAAGACGGCCCGCGGAGAAGCCCCAGAAGCGGTTCACCGCCAGACTGCTGGAATCCTCACCTCCGAGATGCATACACACCCAGGGGAGGCCCCCGAAGCTTCCAGGGGGGCTCTGGGAAGCCTTCAAGAGGCCCCCTAGCGGCTCCCAAGAGGCTCCCACGAAGCCTCCAAGAGGTCCAATAACCACGGTGCTCCTGACTTTGCTCCCACTACGCCTCGGGCCTCTCAACCGGGGCACCGAGGCACGGTGGCAGCATGGGGCGACAGCCACTAGATCCGACGCTCCATGTTGCTTGCAAGAGGCCGGCGTGACAAATGTTACTTACGCTGTGGGCCCTTCATAAGAGAACCCGGTCGTCTCTGGCTCCACTGGCTGGACACCTGGAAACACCAGACAGTCAAAACCATACGTCCAAGATGGCCGAGCTTGCGTTTAAGACAGTCCCAAGACGCCTCCAAGATGGCCCCAGAGCCCAAGATGGCTCTCAGGTGCCTCCAAGACGGCCCAAGGTGCAAAATGGCCTCAAGACGGCCAAGATGGCCTCAAGACTGCCCAAGAGCCCCGTGAGACGTTCCAAGTTGCTACAAGAGGACCCTAGGAGGCCCTCAGGACGCCAAAAATCATCGATGTTCCCACTGTGCATTCCAATGACTTGTTGTTCTAGTTATTCCAGGCTTCGGGCAACATCGGACGGCCCCAAAGTCATCCAATATTCCCTCAAGACGGACCAAGAGGCCCTCAAGAGTTCCAAGATGGTCCAAGACGGCCCCAACCTGGCCAAGATGGCCTCCAAGACGGTCCCATGACGCCTCCAGGACGTCCCAGATGGCCCCAAGAGAGCCCAAGATGGCCAGACTTTGGCCCAACGTTTGGCCACATAGGCGCTTCCGAAAGGCATGAGGGTCCAAGAGGCCTTCAAGTTTGCCCAAGAGGCCTCCAAGACTGGCACAATGTAGCCCAGAGGACGGCACAAGACAGCCGCAAGACGGCCCAGGGGCCACGCAGGAGGCGCTCCAGCAGGGCCCGAAGAGGCAACCTGCCCCACTGGTTGTTTTCAATGGACTCTCATGCTCTGGCCTTCTCGATCCTCCAGCTGTCGAAGGCCCCGAAAACGGATCCGAGAGGCCCCAAAACTGGCCCAGGAAGCATCCAAGACGGCAAGGAGGCCACCGGGCCCCGAAGATGGCTTCCGGTGCCTCCCAGAGGCCCCCAGCAGGCCCCGAAAGGGAAACGTAAAGGCTCCTCCTCATCCTCTTTCTCCTCCCGTTCGTGCTCCTCCTCCTCCTCCTCCTCCTCCTCCTCTTCTTCCTCCTCCTCCTCCTCCTCCTCCTCTTCCTTTTCCATTCCTTTCCCTTCTGAACAACTCCCCCTGTCGCACCCCGAGGCCAGTCGGAAGGGCGGGCCGGGCGTTTCGCCTGTGAAGCTTAATAATTTGCAAACAAACAAAAATCACGGGTTCAGGGCGGGTGGTTTTCAACATGTGGCTATAATCAGCGCCGCGCACATTCGTCCTACAAATTTGAAAGAGTTTCACGGATTGAGGGCGGGTGGATTCCAACATTTGGCTTTCGGCATAACGCACTGCATACTCGTCTTAAACATTTGTAAGAGCTTCACGGAGTAGGGACGGTTGGTTTTCGAAATGTGGCTCTCGCCTCAGCGCCGCGCACATTCGTTTGAAAAATTAGCACGGCTTTCAATGATTGAGGAAGGCTACTTTCCAAAATATGGTTTTCACTTGACGCCCGCGCAAATTCGTCGTACACATGGGCAAAGGATTCACGGACTCACATGGGCAGCGTACCAGAAATGGTGTGTGAACGATTCAGAATTGCCAGAACGCAGCAATTGCGTTCTGGCACGATTCAGGAACGTGAAGACGCATCAGTCAGGTTGAGCCTTGGCGTTGGAGTCCCGAGAATGGTGTTTTTGCACGCTTCAGGGTCGTCAAACGGTTGTCTCCCAACAGAACACTTCCCTGTGAAAATAAATCCTTGCAGGGGCCAGTAAAGAGGAAGCTTGGAGAAAGGGGTTCTTCCAACATCGTGGATGGGTCTTGGGATTTCACTGGTCCTCCTCCTCCTCCTCCTGCCTTCCTCCCCCAAGTGTCCCCTCCCCCAGGGGTTTCCACAACGGCTGGGGGAACATATCGTCCAACATCTTGGCGAGACGTTGGCCCAACGTTCGGCCGCCTCGGGGCCTCCAGAAGGCAAGGCCCCCCTCCCCCCCCTCGCCAAAGTACGCCCTCGGAAGGCCCACCGAAGCTCCGTTGTCGACCAGAGGATGAGCCTGCTGCTTCTCCTCGTCCTCGTTCTCCTGGCCCTGCCCCCGTCGCTCCCTTTTCCTCCGCGGCGCGCCGAAGGAGTTGCCACATGAGCGCCAATCGAAAACGGGTCTCACGCGAGATGTCACGGCGACCTTACGCGGTGGCTTACGCGGGCCGCCCGCGCGGCACGCCACATTTGAGGCGAGGGCGCGCACTCGCGGCCTTACGCGGGCAGCTTACGCGCCAATGTCGGCGCAGACGGCCCCTGTCTTGCGTGGCTCAATGAGGCTTTTGGCGTACCAAAACCTAAATCATCGCTTGGCCCATCAGGTTCCCACTCACTGGGGCCCATGGCGCCGCCCCCGCGCAAAGCCAAGCGTGCCTGGACCATGCGCCTCTGAGACGGCCCGCACATGTCCACATCCACCACCTTCACAGGTCCCCGAAGAGCGGATCCGCCAGGCGTCCGTCGTGGAGCAATCCCCGCCTCAGAGAACCCATAGCTCCGACGTCGTGGCTTTTCAGGCGCGGCTTCCCTGGACTTCTCGACCGCCTGCATGGGGACCGGAACTTCATCCCGAGAAGGTTTGGTGGTCCTGGGGCGTTGCCAGCGCCCCCGAAAGCTAAGACGGCGCAGGGTGGCTCTCAGGATAGCCCCAGACTGCCCACGACAGCCACAGATGGCCTCCAAGATGCTTCGCAGACGACCAAGAGATGGTCCCGAGAGGGCCCCAAGAGGGTCCATGAGGCACTTTGCATGGTTTCCTGGGCCGTCTGGGATGCCCTCGGGTGCGACCGAAGAGGGCGAAACCATTGAAAAACGAATGGTGTGTTGCTCGGGTCATCGTCTTCTCGGCCTTGACTCGTCTAATTCAGCTCAAAACAGGCCCCCGAGTCAAGCCCAAGACCGAAACTGGCCCAAAGTGGACCTCAAGATGGCCCAAGAGGAGCCCCACCCACACAGCCCAGTGCTCCAAAACGGCCCTGAATTGTCTCAAGAGGGCCGCGAGACGGCCAAACGAAGCAACAAAAAACAACACGGTCTCCCAAGGCGCCAGGCGACCCGAGAAAACCCCAAGACGGCCCCATCGAGCCCCAACCAATGTCCGGGAGGCCCTGGCGGCAGCCGAGGAGACCCAAAAGGATAAAAGATAGCCTCAAGATCTCCTCTCTCCTCCTCCCTCCTCCTCCCTCCTCCTCCTCCTCCTCCTCGCTCCTCCTCCTCCTCCTCCTCCTCCTCCTCGTCCCTCGTCCCTCCTCCCTCCTCCCTCCTTCCTCCTCCTCCTCCTCCTCCTCCTCCTCCTCCTCCTCCTCCTCCTCTTCCTCCTCCCCCGCACTGCCCAAGAGCGCACCTCCCCAGGAGCACGCGGGAGCACGCAGTCCAGTGGCCCGGCCGCTTGACTGGCTCGCGGCAATGGCGCGCCCAACAGGCAGGAGGCGCCAGTGACGGGCCTCAGCCACATTCGACAAACCTCTGCTCGACTACGTGTTGTTGCTGTCGCTGTTGCTGTTGCTGTTGTTTTGTGGTGGTGGCGGATTTGGTGTTGTTGTAGTTGGTGGTGTTGCTGCTGCTGATGCTGCTGCTGGTGTGAGTCGTTGGTGTTGTTGTTGTTGCTGGTGGTGTTGCTGTTGTGGAGGTTGTGGTTGTTGAAGTTGTAAGGTTAGTTGTGGTTGTAGTTTTTGTTTTAGGTATAAGTGTTGCTGTTGCTGCTTATGTTGCTGTTGCTGCTGTTGTTGCTGCTGTTGGTGGTGCCGTTGCTGGTGCTGTTGTTGCTGCTGCTGTTGTTGTTGAATTCCCATTCCCTAAAAATAGCTTTTCCCGGTCCCCGCCCATGACAATGCGACACTCTATAAAACGCGGGGGCTTGCCAGCGCTCTGGACCCAGGAACTCACCGAAGACCGAAGCGGACCTGCGCCTCTGGAAGTGTGCGCTGTTGGTTCAACTGACGGCCAGCTGTCGCCTCGGGACCGCCTGGCCCCGCCGACAGACTGCATCTGGAGGTTGGAGAGACACAGGCCTCGGGAAAAATAGCGAACACGCATGCCACATTCATCGGTCAACGCCTCCCCCTCCCCCCAATGTTCAAAATTGGCGGTGGGTCTGATGCGTTGCACTTCAGCCGCAGTCTCCCCCGCGCGTGCGGACTTTGAGTGGGAGGAGTGGTGGAGTGTCCACTAATGGTTTCCCCCTACCGTAGCGTGGAATTCGCTGGCAACTTGATTCAACATAGGGAAGCCCAGATGAATCTGCGGCAACGCGGGAGCCGGCTCCCGATACCCCCGACTGCACCGAGCACGAACGATTGTCGAGGGCGTTGGGGGTGCGACCGTACCAGCATTCGTATAGGCCTACCACGACATGTCCTAAGATCCCGACAGTGCTCTGAGAACACGAAAAACTGTTCTTAGTTCATAGACCTGGCGTGCTACAACAAAACAACCTTGGCCGGAAATGTTCTACGAGCATTCCGTGCAGTCCACCAAAGGTTCTTGGAACATTATTTGGTGGGCATATTTGCAAGCTGAGAGGCTTCGCCACTGCTTGTGCTTCGGAGGCGACCCTGCGCCTCCTTCCGAGACACCAGGAACTGCGCGCAGCAGTCCATGCAGAAGACCGCAGGCGGCGCGGCGCCTAGGAACGGGGCGAAGTAGGCCGCCCAGTGCTTCCTGATGATCCCCCGCGGCTCGTCCAGCCTTTCGGAGGCAACTTATGGGGGGCCTTCGTTGGAACGCTGAAGGGCGATGAAGCCCGATGGAAAGACCACCTCATACTGGATTTGGCTCAATTGAGGCCAGATTCAGGCTGGATGAAGCGGGACGGAACAAGATGAGGCCGGACAAAGCAGGATTAGCACATATTGAAACATGAGGAGGAGGAGGAAAGGAGGAGGAGGAGGAAGGAGGAGGAGGAAAGGAGGAGGAGGAAGAGGAGGGTCATCGACCGCGAAGGCACCAACGCCAGCACAACATTCGTTCCTCCCAGGGGTTGCATCCCGGCGGCCTGTCTCGACGGGCGGACCCGCCGCGGCCGCGGCCCTCCACGCGGAAGCACATCGGCTCCGCGGAGATGCCCGAGTTCAGGCTGCGGTACACCCGCGCGGCCCCGCCCGGCTCGGCGTCGGTGCAGAGGCACCGCAGCAGCTCGGCCATGTCGAAGCGGGCGTGCTTCTGGGAGGACTGGTGCCCGTGCGAGAAGACCACCGCCTCGGGCAGCGCGTCGTAGTGGTCGACCAGGAACCGCAGGTACGCGGTGGCCTCGTCCCCGACGTTGGGGATGTCCACGAAGCGAGCGGCCCCTGCGTCCTCCAGCTCGGCCCGCAGCGCGGCCGCGTCGCTCTCCGAGACCCGCGGGCCGCCCCCCCTCCCGCCGGACCAGAACGCGCTGAGGTGTGCCTGCTGGCCGGTGTGGTTGTGCATGTAGACCCATGCTCAGGTGCTGCTAGAAGAGGCCCCGGCACACACCGCACCGGCTCCCGATGGGCCTACCGCGACCTGCTCTCAGAACCCCAGAATGTTCTAACTGACCTAAAAGCAACGTCCTCAGAACATAGGCCCGATGTGTGAAAACATGTAGCCCAGACATGTTAGAAAAAGCAAGACAGATCGTGCACAGAGGTGATTAAGAGCATGCTGTGGGCCCATAGGCGAGCCGTGGCGCTTCGCCACTGCTTGAGCGAGGCGACCCCTGCTTCTCGAACCATCTTCGGGCCCCTGGGGGTCCGTGGGCCTCGCGAGGGCTGCTCCGGAGGCCACCTGGACCTCCCCGAGCGTCCTGAGGCCACTCGTGCCCTCGTTCGGACGCCCATCCCCCGTGCGCGCGTCGGCTGCGCGCGTGCTCTTTGCTGCTCGCGTATCCGGGCTGCTCCTCGATGGCCCTCGCCGAGAAGGAAGCATGTGCAAGTCCGAGCGATGCCGAGCACTTCGGGCCAGGGACATCCTCAGCAGCACCCGCCATGCGCTGCCCCTTCCCCGCGGCGCGGCTTCCAGCCACCTGAGCGACGATCCAAAACGGGTCTTACGCGAGACGAAGTAGCGACCTTGCGCGGTGGCCCACGCGGGCCGCCAGCACGGCACGCCACGCTTGAAGCGACGGCGCCTACGCGCGACCCGGCGCGGGCAGCTTGCGGGCCGACATCTGTCGGCGCAGCCGAACCCGCTTTTTTTGTTTCTGGACTGTGCCGCTGACCTGAGGTCCTCGTTGAAGCACGACACCACCAGCGCGGCCCTGTCCCCCTCCACCAGCTCGGCCAACGGCGCCCGGCACTCCTCGGGGTGCCAGTGCTGGCACAGCGCCCGCGCCGCCTTCACGCTCCTCGCCGCCTCGGCCCGCCGGGCCGTGAGCCCCCAGAAGGCCAGCGCGACCGCCAGCACCAGCGCCAGGCCCAGGCCCAGGGCGATGGCGGCCCTGCTGGGGGCGTGCCACCCCTTCGCCTTCTCCTGCAGCTCGCCGCCCGCGCACTCCTGGGAGGAGCAGCGCCCCCGCACGGGCAGAAAAGTCCGAGCCCTCGGAGGTCCGCGCGGCGCTTTTGGGCTCGGCGCCGAGCCCCCCTCCCTTGCTCGCGGAGCGCGCCAGGGGCTGCCCCAGAGGCGCCGCCAGGGAGGTTCAGCGCAGATCCAAGAACCCGCGCGGACCTCCCAAAGTTCTACTGTGGTCGTGCACGGCGGCGGGCCGAGAAGGGAAGCGAGAGGGGGCAGACCGTCTCAAGGGCAGAGCGGCGGGCACTCTCGGAAACCGACGCTGTCCTGGGAAAGGCCTAAACACCCTCTCCTAGGCGCGAGGCCTTCCGAGAAGCCCCGCTGCCGTCTGAGAAGTCCATCAGGAGGAGGAGGAGGAGGAGGAGGAGGAGGAGGAGGAGGAGGAGGAGGAGGAGGAGAAGGAGGAGGAGGAGGAAGAGGAGGAGGAGGAGGAGGGAGGAGGAGGAGGAAGGGGGGGAAAAGTGGGGGGAGGAGGAGTCTCACCATCTCGCTGTCGCCCCATGGGCTCGCGGCCGAGCAGAAACCTAACTAAACTTTCGGAGGTCCACGCGGATGTCTTGGACCTGCGGTGGCGCACCCCTAGCGGCGCCCCTGGCGCCGCCCGCTCCGCCCGGCGCGGAGGGGGGTCCAGCGCCGAGCAAAGAGGCCCGCGCGGATCTGCGAAAGTTGAACTAAATATGTTCATGCAGCTTCTGATTACGACTCAAGTGTTTTGTATTACTATCAGTATGCAGCGAGGGTGTGTGTGTGTGTGTGCTCTTGTCCGTCCCCGCCTAAGTACTACTCTCATGAATGTCAGTAGTCGTGTTATCATGGTTCCCATTGTTACCATTAATACTCTGATTGCTTTACTTAACGTCATTACTACAAGTATTATTCGCGTACCTCTACTGAACATTCTAAACATGCTTCGTAGATTCGACGAAAAACAAGTCGGGGGGTAATCAATTATGCAGTCGATCCCAGAATCGAGTTTCTGTTTTTGCTCGACTCCTCTGAGACCAAAAGGTATCTATACCCCTGCGTACTCCCCCTGCCTCTCCCGGGATGCGTTCTGACCAGAACTTCGAGGCGCATCCATTGGTGGCGACGAAGGCCTCCCCGGGAGGCCCCCAAGCAGGACAACGCGGCGAGCGTCGCGGCACGCGGGCCGCTACCTTGTTCCTCCTCCGGGATCCCCTGCTCGAGTTCCTGTTGCTCCTCGGCTCCTCCTCGCCCTCGCCCTCGCCGCGGCGGCGCCGCAGCCCCGCGGGGCGGCCCGAGCCCGCCTTGGCCGCCTTGCCCGCGGCGGCCGCACGCGGCAGGACGGGGCCACTCGCCCGCCAGCGGTGCAGCGCCCGCTGCACCAGGTCCACGGCCCAGGGGCCCCAGCGCCTCGCGAGCGGCAGGCACATCTCCTCCTCCTCCTCCTCCTCCGTCTCGTCCTCGTGCTCCTCCTTCCCCTCCTCCTCCCCCTCCTCTTCGTCCTCCTCCTCCTCCTCCTCCTCCTCCTCCTCCTCCTCCCCCTCCTCCTATTCCTACTCCTCCGCCTCCTCCGCCTCCTGCCGGTTCCACCTCCTCCTCCTCCTCCTGCTCCTCCTCCTGCCGGTTCCACCTCCTCCTCCTCCTCCTCCTCCTCCTCTCCTCCTGCTCGGCATCCTCCTCCTCCTCCTCCTCCTCCTCCTGCTGCTGGTTCCTCCTCATCCTGCTTCTCCCGCTGGTTCCTCCTCCTCCTCCTCCTCCTCCTGGCTTCTTCTCCTCCTGGCTCTCCCTCATGATCCCTCCGTATCCTCCTCCTGTCCCACCACCCCATGTAACATGCCTGCTAAAAAATTGGTGAGAGTTTCGAACCCAAGTCGCGAGAGGGGAGACGGGATGATCCTCCTCTTCCTTCCCCCCCCCCTCCTCCTCCTCCTCCCCCTCCTCGTCCTTCTCCTCCTCCTCCTCCTCCTCCTCCTCCTCCTCCTCCTCCTGATCCTCCCCCTTTTCCGTATCCGCGCCCCTGCGGTCTGGATTCCGGGACGTGATCCCGCCGATGCGCGGTCGAACGGCTAATTACCTTCCGCGCATGGCATCCGCGAACGAGCGCACCGCAGCCGCGGGGTCGCGGCCGAGGGGCCAGGCATCGCGAGGCCGCGGATACTGATATGTTTTTCGCCCAAGAGGAGTAGGAGGAGGAGTAGGAGGAGGAGGAGGAATCAGGGAGCAGGAACGAGGAACAAGGAGGAGGAGGAGGAGGAGGAGGAGGAGGAGGAGGAGGAGGAGGGGGGGAGGAGGAGGAGAAGGAAGAAGAGGAGGAGGAGGAGGAGGAGGAGGAGGAGGAGGAGGAGCGCCGCCGCCGCCCGAGCGCCAGCAGCCCCACCAGCGCCAGCGCCAGCACGGCCACCGCGAGACGGGGGTGCCCCTGGGACTCTGGGCTCTGCCGCCGAGCCTCCACCTCCCGAGGAACAGAAACAACGGCACACGCATCAACTTTTGGCGGTGCGCACGGATCTCTTGGGTCTGCGCTGGAGCCCCCCCTCCATGGCCGCGCGGAACGCGCCAGGGGCGGCGCAACCGGGCGCCGCCAGGGGTGTCCCAGCGCAGAGCCAAGAAATCCGCGCGGAGGGCCAACAAGTTTATGGTCATGCCGTTTTCTCTTCTTCGAACCTCCACGCTGGCCGCGGCGAAGTCCTCCGCCCTCAGCCTCCTCCGCCTCCTCCTCCTCCTCCTCCTCCTCCTCCTCCTCCTCCTCCTCCCCCCCCCTCCTCCTCCTCCTCCCACTCCTCCTCCTCCTCCTCCTCCTCCTCCTCCTCCTCCGCCTTCTCCTGCTCCTCCTCCGCATCCTCGGCCTCTGGGGAGACCAAAGACCCAGAGATACGGATACCGCTACTCCCTGGACCTCTCCGAGGGTGCGTTCTGACCAGAATTTCGAGGCGAATCCAGCGGTGGCGACGAGAGCCTCCCAGGAGGACGACAAAGAAGAACACTGGCGAAGGGTAGCAAGATGGGTACCTTGTCCTCCTCCTTTCCCTCCTCCTCCTCCTCCGAAGTCCTCCGCCGTCCAGTTCGCCCTGCCGCCGATCGCGGCCCGGAGCTCGGCGTAGGTCCGGAAGCCGGTGGCGGGCTCCACGGAGTGGGCCCACCGGCCATCCAGCAGCGCGGCGATCTCCCCGTCGGGCCTGATGCCCCCGGGAGCACCAGCGAGCGGGGGCTGCACCTTGTTCACGTACGGCCTACGGTTCAACATGTCGCCATGCCTGAAGGGATCGAGACCTCGCGTGGGCCCTGGAAACGACATGGCCGTTTTTTAGGGGCTCCGTTTTGGCATGCTTGTTGCCGGTTCCGGCGCCGTGTTATTGCCGGTTCGGTCGCCGTTCTTGTTGGCGGTTCTGGCTCCGATTCCAATCCCCGAACCGATTTTGGCCGGTTCCCGTCGCCGTTTCTTTGCCGTCTCCATTTGCAAGAGTCGCTGTTTCGGAAGCGGTGAAAAAACGGCCCTGCCGCTTCTGGGGCCCACTAAGCTCGAGACACGAGAGGACGAAGTGATCGTCGAACTGCTCCTTGTGCTGGAGCATGGCCTCCTTGGTGGTGGAGGCCTGTACCCTCTCCAGCAGCGCGGGGTCCCTGCTCAGCACGTCCTGCAAGTCTGGCAGGAGGAACTCCGCCAGCTGCTGGATCGACCGCGCCGGGCGCTCCGACAGGTCCTCGCAGGAGTTCCCAGAATCGAATCGATAAATCAGATCGGCGATCGAAACGAATCGGATCGGCGGAAATCGGCAGCCGAGTCTGGACAAATCGAATCGGACGAAATGGGCAGGCAGCAAGAACTCAGAACCCAACTCGGAATCCCAGCCAAATCGAATCGAATCGGAATCGAAATCAACCGAAATCGAATCGGATCGAAGCGGGGGAATCGAAACGAGCCCTGCCTCGTACGTGAGCCACAGCGTCCCGCGATCCGCCCAGCAGCACCGGTACCACGACACGATCTGCCCCCAGACCCCGCTGTTGAGGGCGGAGGCGAAGACCCCGGCCGCGAAGGCCCGCAGAGTCACCTCGCCCTCCCGGAAGCCGGCGTAAGTGGGCCACGCCCCCATGCAGAAGAAGCGCCACATAGACACCAGCACCGCGCGCGGCTCTCTGACCAGGAACACATCCACCACCGTGGCGCGTGCACGCGGGGGCGTGTGAGGATGCCCTCGCGCTCCCGAGAGGCCCTTCTAGAAGGCCCCAGGAGAAATGTCCACTAGATGGGTCGCTCACTCAGCCTCCTTCACGTCGCGCTGCTGGGCTGGCGCGGCGGCGAGATTTGCCGCAGCCAGCTGGATACCGGCCTCCCCTCGCGATCTGCTCCGAGAGGCTGTGTGACTTGAAGAGGCGCGGCGAGAAGCCCTGCTCGGCGTCCAGGTCCTGGCCGCACTCCTGCGCAGCGATGTCCCAGGGCACCACCACAGAGATCTCGTCGAAGTCCATGCTGCAGTTCGACCTGATGTGGTGGGCGACGCACGAAAGCCACGTGGTTCCACTCTGTGTAGAGGAAGAAACAACTGCATGAACGTAAACTTTCGAAGCTGCGCGCGGATTTCTTGGACCAGCGGAGAATCCAGCGCCGATCCAAACAAACATCTGACGGAGCTCCGAGAGTTGATGCTCATGCAGCTGTTTGCTCCTCGACTTGGCGTAGGTCACTATGAACACGTCAGAGGGCCTCGGCGTGAAACTTCTGGCGTAGTCCTTGGACTCCTCCGAGTGCAGCCTGCCGTTGAACCTCTGGGCGTGAACAAATGGGAGGGGCGTGCGGGCAGTACTTATGTCCATATCCAGAGCGTCGTGGACTTTTTCGGGGAAGAGGTGCCGCAACGCCGAGGCGCATTGGATATGGATAAAATCAAGCCTCTTGGGGCCAGATTCTTATCCATATCTTTCTGGGGAAGAGAGCCCAAGAATCCAAGACGCACTGGATGTGAATATAACTATTGCCCGCAGGGCGACGAACGGGGGGGCGGACAGGTGCCCTCTTCGGGCCCCGAAGGCCTCCCTTTGGGGCCCTGCTGCAGGGCCCCTCGCGGTGCCCTGCAGGAGGGCCCCTTCTCTGCAGCCCTCGCGGCCCACCCCATGCATCGCCTCGCCCCCCCGCCTTGAGATCCGACGTTGGCAAAAATTGCAACATCGCAAAAGATCACCACCCGAGCCCAGGACCCCATCTTCCTGCGTCATGATTCGAGCCGGATCGATTTGTGAAGGTGCCGAGGCCCGGAATGGAGGGAAAACGCCCGGTGTGAAAAAGTTGCAGCGCCAGGATCTCATCGGGAGCGGCCACGAGGGGGGCGTCCAAGAGGGGGGGGTGCAAATCATGGCGGGCGGCACGTACGCGCGCGGCCCACGGGGGGGGCCCGGGACGTCATAGAAGAAGAGGAGGCGCCATGAAATCTGGGCAAATGTCATGGCCCACGCCGTGATACCCCCCCCCTTAGCCATCACCCCCCTTGATGCCGCCCCCGATCCCAGGGATTGCGAGCCCCCCCCCCAACACCTGATGAGCTTCTGCAGCCCGGGGCCGAACGTCTTCCCCAGCCTCGCCAGGGGCGTGCGCGCTTGCCGCTCCAGGGGCGTCATCCGCATGCTCGGGTAGGCCCACTGCAGGAGCCGGGTCAGCGGGCCATCCAGGGCGATGTGAGGCTCCTTGGCAGAAGGAGCTATGCATGAACCAAACCTTGTGGCGCTCCGCGCGGACTTCTCGGATCCGCGCTGGACCCCCCCTTTCCGGCGCGCGGGCGCCGGAGGCGCCGCAGGGGGGGCCCAGGCGCGGATCCAAGAAACCCGCGCGGAACGCAAACAAAAATACGGTTGTGTGTTTGTTTTTTTTGTTCGGCTCCTGGCCCATGCCCCCAAAAAACAGGCCGCCGGGGAGGCCGGGCGGTGCCCGATGTGGGCCGGGCGCCCCCGCGCGCGCCTGGCAATGCAAGCGCTCCGCCGCCCGGCGCACCGCGCGGCTTGAGCAAATTCTGACTTCGGGCGGCGACGGCAAGATCCAGAGAGGGCAGCCTGCGGTGGCAACGCACGGGAGCCTCCCATACTATCTTGTTGGCTTCTGCGAATCGACGCCAATCGATGCCAATCGGCGCTCTAAATCGAGGCTGAGTTGGCACTCGATCAGCGCCAGTCGACGCCAGTGCACTCTAAAGACGGACCTACGAGGGTATACAAGGCTCCCATGATTTGAAAACAAATCAGGCGGCGACGAAAATAGACGTCTCTTAGATGGGGTCCGAGCAGATGGGGTCGAAGGGTCGCGCCGCATGGCCATTGCATCGCCTATGTATCGGCGATGCATCGGCGATGCACTGGAGACGTCGGCGATGCATCGGCGACGTGGGCGTGGAGAAAATCGGGCTCCGCATCGAGCCGCATCGCAGATGCATCGGCGATACAGCGCGATCCTCCGACCCCAACTACCCCGACCCCATCGAGGAAGCCTACAGTGATGGGCCGATCTTCCATCACTGTATGTAGGAGAGTGAAGCAGTGAAGCAGCGAAATCCTGCCTGAGAAGGCCCGCGTGGGGCGGGACAGAACTAGTGCACACCCACAACACACAGCCCTCTGGATCGCAGCGCGCTCGCCCTCAAAAGTGGGGCCCGCACCGAATCAAGACAAGATGGATGCTGTTTTTCTGCACCTGTCAACCCACGGACCCTCTGCCAAAAAGTCAGTGGGGGTTAGCTCTGGTCACCTCTCGTGGGTTGAGCCAAAACACTATGTATGAGCAGGGTGGGTATTACCACACGACGCTCCACCTCCAGCCCCAACCATCCCCCATTCAAGGCTGCACTCGTGCGAGCTTCTGCACTTGCGTGTGCAAATTGGGCAGGCTATTCTGCCATGCCACTCGGATTGACAACGAGCTGTTGAGACGTACGGGGAAAAAGGCTGCTTCGAATTTGCTGACAATGCTCTGCTGCACTCTCGCCTGAAAACGGGCATCACTACAGAGTGCCCATGCGCTCTTTAACGCCGCTACCGGCCAAGAGGCATGGACGTGGTAGGCGTGGCCACTGGTCCAAGACAAAGGTGCTTGCAGAAAGGCGCGTTTGAATGCAGGTGAAGCGTGAAGGATCCCATTTGCACGCTCGACGCGCAATTGCAGCCAGCGAATTGATTCCTGACTCGCGCCTTCAACTTGGAGCTTGAAATAACGAGAGCGGGCACGCATAAGCTGCACGTATAAACTGAACTTCCGTTCGTTGGTGTACGCCGTGAGGATATCATCTGTGAGACGCAATTACAACAAAAATGAACCGGCGTGCATTACCCTCTGCTTCAGCATGTGGGCCTCCATCAAATTGTACAGAGCAGTATGAGCAACCTCCCCAGAGTGGATCTCGATCCCTTGCCTGGGCCGTGGGTGCATAGAAAAGTGCGCTCCGGGAGTAAGTCCGAGGTGATGTACTGCGTATGCAATAGGATGCCCAACGCTCGCCGCGTCAAAATCTTTATAGACCCGTCAAAGTGGGCAACGACATCCTCGATGAGATCGTCAATATATTCGCTCGAGAAGAAATCCTTCACGTCCAAGGTGCTGAATAACGCGTTGTCTGGGACGGCTCTGCCAGAGAGCCGAACCCGCCGCTTCATATGCATATCTGACAATATGTCGTTGAATGCACGGATGCTCGCGCAACTTCCTCGAAACCCATGTCGCCAGGCCAGCGTACCGATACTTCGGAATCGCGTGAACAGCACGAAATGTTACGACAGATTTGTGTGATTTGCACCGTTTGGTGAGGTGCGCTGTAGACGTCGCGCCCCTGACCAAGAGAGATTTGCAGATATGCTTGCGTAGTCCGTTCGACTCCTCATGGGTCTCGATATCTTTAGCCAGTTGTCGATACTGGGCGACAGTGGCAGAGACATCGTTGATGGGGCCGATCTCGATGTAGTTCCCCCCTCCAGGATGCACTCATCGATGAACGGCTCGTCTGACTTCCGAACCAAAGTAAAGCCGACCTCTTTGTCGTTCAGAATGGGCGTATACGGGATTGTCTTCAACATGCTCATGGCTAATTTCGCAAGACCTGGCACCTTCGAGGATCGATGGGAATGGCTCGCACAGCAGCCGGAACGACACAGTGGTGAAAGCAATGTGCCCAATGCTGGAAGTTCCCAGGTACTTGCTTGGTGCACGGCGGGGTCCGCGCACCCTTGATCTTATAGCAAGTGTCCGCGAGTGGGTAAGAGAAGAGCTTGTGCTTGCAGCGATGGATGAATTCCTGGACGCTTGAACGTAAAGCGTCAATGGATGGGCGGGTATTTGGAACGAAGGTGTGCTTCGGGTTGTAGACACCTGGCAACCATACCACTGGCCAGGGCACATCCAAAGGCTTGACCAATGACATAGAACACGTGTCATAAACGAGAACACTCCGAGCAATACAACCGAAGTTCAAAATCCCACACCACTCATTTAGGGTAGCGTAGCTCATCATCTCCAGCAGCAACCGGCCAGGCTTTGATGAAGACTTCATTATTGTTTGCCTTTGCCTTTGCTCTTCCCGCCATCGCGTGTGCCGTTGCCTTCTCCTTTGCCTCCTGCTTTCCTGTGCCATTTTGATGGCCACCATCCTTCGGTCTTCCAAAGGTTTCCTTTGCCTGTGCCTTGCGCCTTCCCCTTCGGCTTGCCCTTCTTCCCTGTGCCTTTCGGACGGGGTGCACGCTGAAGGTTTGACCCCTGCCCCTGGGCTGCCCCAGGGGTTCGGCCGTTTTTTTGACAAGGCTTGAACAAACTCGGGGACTTTGCCATATTTCGACTCCTCCTTGGCCTCATCCACCATGGGCGCATCCCAGGAGGCATCATCTCGACCTCCCTGTTCTTGCAGCTTCTGGTTGACGATCGTCCCGACTGCTTCCGCGAACAGGTTCTCGGGCTTTGCATTCGCCATCTTCTCCGCCGCTTTCTTGTTGGCCTCCTCTCCCTTCCTCAGTGCCATCTTCCTGGCCTTCTCAATCTTCTCCACCATGGACGCGACCTTGGTGTACAGCTCCTCGAGCTTGTCGGTCTTCGCGCTCAAGCTGATCTTCTTGATCGGTGGCTGGTCCACGCCGTTCCTGCGCAATAGAAGGGAAAGCTTTCTCTATGAGGGCATTGCATGATCCAAGGAATGATTCTTTCGAAGCCCCCGCACGCGAAGATGCCACAGAAGATTATAAGGTCTCTGTGTCGATGGCCTTCAATTCGGCAGTAAAGGCTAGATGAATCAACCTTTTTGCCTCACGCCGAGCTGAGCCTCTAGGGATGTCTAGCTTAGCACTCATCAGCTGAATATTGATGCCATCCTGCTCTGTCTTCGAAAATGTCATAGCAAGTCCAGCTATATGGAACGGACTACGAAACGAACGAACTCCATTTGGATACGAACCAGAAGTAAGGCACTGAAGATCCTCTCTACTCTTCTGTAACTGGTTCGTTGCCTTCACATATTTCAATACACACTTTTCGTACTCGTGGCTTACCTTCTCGAGGCCATGCAAGACCTCCGGAGGGAACTTGGAAAGCTCCGTACTGGTCCCTGCATTGGGGCCCGCTGCTGGTGGTGCTGCTCCTGCCGGCGGTGGAGGGGCAGCAGATCCAGCAGGTGCGAAGTGGAAAGCTCCCTGGATAGCAGAGCCGAGCATGTCTGTGAAACGTGACATGGCGGCCTGATTTACCCGGAGTGCTTCCAACGCTGCTGCCATATGCTTGTTTTGCTCCGCCTGTAGGTCCAATTGCCGCTGTAGCTGTTGGGCAAGGTCCACTGGGGCCGGTGTGGGTGCTCCACATGGAGTGTCTCCTGGACTGGCCATGCCGTCCAATCGGGGGACCTTTTGCTGACTCTCCAACTCACGTATGGCTGCAGCTGCGCTGGCCCCTTTCGCATTACCATCTGCCGACATCTTAGTGGGGCGATGTAACTACGCAAGACCTCAAAAGTGGGGCCCGCACCGAAACAAGACAAGATGGATGCTGTTTTTCTGCACCTGTCAACCCACGGACCTTCTGCCAAAAAGTCACTGGGGATTAGCGCTGGTCACCTCTCGTGGGTTGAGCCAAAACACTATGTATGAGCAGGGTGGGTATTACCACACGACGTGTGTGTGTTTCTTTTTCGACTCCTGGCCCATGCCCCAAAAAAACAGGCCGCCGGGGAGGCCGGGCGGTGCCCGATGTGGGCCGGGCGCCCCCGCGCGCGCCTGGCAATGCAAGCGCTCCGCCGCGCGGCGCACCGCGCGGCTTGAGCAAATTCTGACTTCGGGCGGCGACGGCAAGGTCCAGAGAGGGCAGCCTGCGGTGGCAACGCACGGGAGCCTCCCATACTATCTTGTTGGCTTCGGCGAATCGACGCCAATCGATGCCAGTCGGCGCTCTAAATCGACGCTGAGTTGGCACTCAATCAGCGCCAGTCGACGCCAGTGCACTCTAAAGACGGACCTACGAGGGTACACAAGGCTCCCATGATTTGAAAACAAATCAGGCGACGACGAAAATAGACGTCTCTTAGATGGGGTCCGAGCAGATGGGGTCGAAGGATCGCGCCGCATCGCCAGTGCATCGCCTATGTATCGGCGATGCATCGGCGATGCACTGGAGACGTCGGCGATGCATCGGCGACGTGGGCGTGGAGAAAATCGGGCTCCGCATCGAGCCGCATCGCCGATGCATCGGCGATACAGCGCGATCCTCCGACCCCAACTACCCCGACCCCATCGAGGAGGCCTACAGTGATGGGCCGACTTTCCACCACTGTATGTAGGAGAGGGAAGCAGTGAAGCAGTGAAATCCTGCCAGAGAGGGCCCGCGTGGGGCGGGACAGAACTTAGTGTACATCCGGAACACACAGCTCTCTGGATCGCAGCGCGCTCGCCCAAGGGGCAAAATTAGGAGCTCGTTCGCGCCATGCATCACGGTCTTTAGCTTTTTGCCTCCATCCTCCGCGACCTCCGCGGGCGCGGGCGCAGAACCTATGTAGGAGAGGGCGGAGGAGGAGGAGGAGGAGGTGGAGGCGGAGGCGGAGGCGGAGAAGGAGGAGGAGGAGGAGGAGGAGGAGAGAAGGAGGAGGAGGCGGGGGAGGCGGAGGAGGAGGAGGACCCTCCCATCCTCCCCTCTCCCCCGTCCTGCCTGTGGCAGTGGTGGTGGCGGAGCAGTGGCCCATCGTGGAGAGAAGCTCCAGCGATGGGCCACCGAGCACAGCCGCGCGCCTCTGCACGCCCCTGCCCCCCTTTCCTGGGAGAGCTGGGGCCCGCATGGGTGCCAGGCGCCGCTCGCCCACGTTGAGCAGGGGCCGACCGTCCCGGCATTCCTAGAGGCCTACCACGACATATTCTTAGACTTAGGTCGGGCATGCTCCCCCCCCAACAGGCGGATTTCGGGCGAAAGCTGGAAACAAATAGCCCCAAAAGTACCCCTAAAATGGTCCAACAATGATAGAAAATCGTCCCCCAACTATTTCCTGACTATGTTTGGATATTCCCCCTGTAGAGGGACAGGCCCGACTTAATCTTAGAACCCGCAAATTGTTTGAGAACGAAAACAATGTTCTTATAACATAAGCCCGATGCGTTAAAACACGACGGTCTCAACCAGAGATGTTCTAAGAACATTCCGTGCAGACCGCAAAAGGTTCTTAGGACAATGGTGGGCCAATAGGCGAGCCAGGACACTTCGCCACTGCTTGACCACTCCTTCCTCCTGGCGGCCTATTGGGCTCGGAGGCCCTCCTGGCACGCCTTGTGTCACACCTCGAGATCCCCAGACGCTCCAGAAGAAATTGGAGCGGGCAAAATTTGGCTGCTTTTGGCTTCCGAGGGGCCCTCGCCGGGCCTCGGGACCGTCAAACAAACGGCTCAGGACGACATAGCGGCCCTACATCCCTCCTCGAAATCAAACGCGCGTTTTTCCACCGACATGGCGACGCACCCGGGCCCGAACTTCAATATGCGCTTCGCGAGTCCATCAACATTGAAAGTTCGGGGTGAGGGGCATGAGAAAAACTTGTGTTTGATCTCGACGGGGGTTCGAAGGAAGTGGTCCAGACCTTCGGGGTTCGCGCATGGAAACAATTGGAGCAACCAGATATCTGCGTATCCGCGCCCGTGCCTCCCGGCGCGTCGAGGCGAGCTCGAATGCCTCGGGTTGTCTGGCAAGGTTCTTTCTGGAATCTTCTAGATGGACACCTTCCCTACGACACACCCAACGGCGTGCGCCCTCTCTTGCCCACTCCCCGTGTCGCAAAGAACGACGCGATCGCCGAAACCACGATCTCCCGTACACAGCAGTGGACCCGTGTTCCCGGTGGTGCCACGATGCCTCGTAAAAACTATGGACCTGAGCTCCCGAGGCCACGATCTCTTGAAATCAAACGTCAGCCAGCGTGGGCCTACCAGTGTGTTCCTAGCAGTCTACGTGGGGCAATTCATGTTGTGCAATCGATGTGGTGCCATCACAACGCGGGTCCCGAGGGTGGCGAGTCCTTCACCCTGGGGCGGCTTCCCCAAGGGACTACTTGGGCTGTGGACGGACTTGGGTTGCAGTCGGACCTGGTTTGCTGATTTGGACCCGGGGACGACCCCCCGCGCCATTCCACGAACCGGAGCTGCAGTCATCCGATGAAACGCAAGCTACGGCGGACCTGATTTGGGGCTTCTCGGGATCTGCTGACCCGGTTCACTCCAGACCCAAGTCAAACAGGCTTTCCAGGATCCTGCGCCCCAGTCCGGGTCAGTGCACCCCTGGCCCTGCAAGATCCTGCAAGATCCGGCGCTCTGACTGGCCCCTGTTTGCACTGACCCCCCGTCTCCTGATTCCCGAGCTTCGGGGCTCCCACGGTTCTGGTTGTATCCCGAAGTGCATTTTCACGCCGAACCTCCTCTCGGCAGCCACCGGGAGCCTCGGAGGGCCCCCGCCGATGAAGCGGCGGACCCGCACATGTTCCGTCGGCGGCGAGGCAGAGTGGCTGCACCAGCGCTAGAGCTAAACGGGGGCACCGAGGAGCGAATTGGCCAGCGTGCAGGGTAGGGGGAGAAGACGGACAGGGCGGCCGCGGAGGAGGAGGGAGCAGAGGGGGCACTCCGAGGCGGACGAATGCCTCCCTGGACGCACGGCGAACCCACACATGCGACGCTCTGATATTTTCAATGCAGGGTCCCCAGAAGTCCCGACCCCTTCCCCACTGCGACGGGCGCGGGGGCTGCTAAGGCGATATAGGGGTTATCAGTGGATGCCAAGGTGGATTATATCTGGCCCGGCCTAGCTCATTGGAGGGTTACTACTTTTGTAATGCCCCAAGTGGCTTGGGGAATTTAGCGATCCAGCCTAAGAGACCTCCGCCCACTTAGCAGAGTTGTCTGATCCACCTAAGCCGCTTGGAGCATGTGTAACCCACTTCTACGCTAGGTTAGGCCAGGTGTAGCCTGATGACCTCCTTATGCACCCCCCGCGCCAATCCCTGGGGCCAGTTTTTCTCATTCCTCATCGTTCTATGACGGTCCCGAAGCCCGAGGAGGAGCCCCTGGGAGCCAAAGATAGAAAAAGGAAAAACGACATACACATACACGGTTGGCGCTATGCGAGGATTTCTTGGACCTGCGCTGGACCCCCCTCCCTGGCGCGCGGAACGCGCCCCTGGTGGCCCCAGCGCGGATCCAACACGAAACCCGCGCAGAGCGCCAACACCTTATGCTTATGGTGTTCCTCCCTCGGACGATACATGCAAACCCCGGGTCAATCAGGCTTTGCAGCATCCTGCAGGACCCTGCAGGATCCTGTGCAAGCAAGCTCTGGCCGGATTCTGTTTATGGCGCTCTGTCTTCTGCGAAAAGACAGTGAGAGAGAGAGAGAGAGCCGCTCGTTGGGATTTTTGCTGTCGCGCCGCGAGCGCGTCGGGGCAGCACCTCCCAGAGGAGGAGGCGGAGGAGGAGGAGGAGGAGGAGGCGGAGGCGGAGGCGGAGGAGATCGAGGAGGAGGCGGAGATCGAGGAGGCGGAGGAGGAGATCGAGGAGGAGGAGGAGATCGAGGAGGAGGAGGAGGCGGAGGAGGAGGAGATGGCGGAGGAGGCGGAGGAGGAGGGAGGAGGAGGAGGCGGAGGAGGAGGAGGAGGAGGAGGCGGAGGAGGAGGGAGGAGGAGGAGTAGGAGGAGGAGGCGGAGGAGGAGGAGGAGGGAGGAGGAGGAGGAGGAGGAGGAGGGAGGAGGGAGGAGGAGGAGGAGGAGGGAGGAGGGAGGAGGAGGAGGAGGAGGAGGGAGTGAGGAGGAGGAGGAGGCGGAGGAGGAGGCCCCGTTCCCCTCGGGACCCCGCCGCGCCGCGGCGAGAGCGGCGGCGGCCTCCCCGGCGGCCGCCGGCCGAGGGCCGCCGTCAGCCCTCCGCCGCGCCGCACCGAGGGGCGGCGCCCTCCCGCCGCCGCCTGCGCGGCGCCGGCCCGGCGGCCTCCTCCGACGCAGGGGCGGATTGCGCGCGCGCGCGGGGGGGGGGTCTCGGCGCGGAGGGGCGCTGGGCGCGGAGGGGTGCGGGGGCGACGAGGGGGGGGGGGAGGAGAGCGAGAGGCTGGGGGGCGACAAGATGGGAGGGAGAGAGAGAAGGGCGACAGAAGGGGGGGGGCAGCGTGGGAGCGACCAAAACGGGGGGGGGGGGGGGGGGAGTCAGGGGGGGGGGGGGGGGCGCGCGACATGTTTGGGGGGGGGGGGGGAGACGGAAGGAGCCCCATCTCGGGCCCTCGAGGAAGGGGCCCCCCTCCTGCTGCCCCGCCCAATCATCGCCCCCCCTTCCCCCCCGTTATTGAAGGGGAACTGGAGCACACAAA